TGTCAAAGAAATCGGCAGGCACAATAGTACCTTCATCGATAAGCTGAATGTGGCCGAGCGTCTTGTTGCGCCGCAAATTGAGGGGGCACGAGTTGGGATTGGAAATAAATACCCGGTAGTGTGTTGACAAAGCTCAAGAACGGCAAATGGCAGCGATGTGTGGTGGAGGCTTGCGAAGATGTCAGATGGCGTAAATAGGACGGTAGCGTCAGAAAGTGAAGCACAGCAGACAGGGACAAACTGGGCGCTGAAAGGAGGAAGGTCTATGTTCATCGCGACGACAAGGTTAGCCACACTAGATACGGTCGCATCAACAGAAGGCGCATCACGAAACGGTAACAGCTCCACTTCGGCCCGAGCGCAGTCCACGACGGCGTGATGACGTGATAAGAAATCCCATCCTAGGATGACATCGTGGGAACATGAAGCCAACACGTGAAATTCAATGGTGTACAACATGTCTCGAATAACCACTTTTGCTGTACATGCCGCGACGGGCTCAATTTGTTGGGCGCTCGCAGTACTAATAGAAACCACGAGAGAATGCTTTCTCTCGTGGTTTGGTGGAGAGGCAGGCGTAGGTAATGGCAATGCCTCGGAGACCTGCTCCTGAATAGCCTGTCTGATTGTCGGCGTTAGGCGGTTCGTTGATGCTTCGGTGGTCGGCAGATACGAGAGACACGAGAGCTGTCGTACGACCTCTTCACGTACATATTCTTTTATCTGCTCCAGCAGGGAGCTGTCACCACCGACGGCCAGGGCAGCGAGAGAGTCGTCTGCTGTCGTCGACCTCCGAACTGCTGCAGCTTGTTTCCGAATCTCTTCCAAGCTTCACAAGTTCGGATACGGTACTTGGGCCCTTTGCCAGCAACATTTGAAAGGCTTCATCGTCTATGCCTTTCAAGATATGCCTGATCTTTTCATGTTCGATCATCTCAGGGTTAAAGCGCCGGCATAAATCGATTACATCTTCAATATAGCTAGTGAAGTTTTGCCCTGCCTTTGTGCACGTCTGCGTAGGCGCTGCTCAGCACGCAGCTTGTGCACTGCGGGGCGATCGAACACAGCTGCAAGAGTGGTCTTGAAAGCGGCCCAAGTGGTAAATTCAGTACGGTGGTTTGTGAACCACAGGCTGGCGACGTCTTTGAGACGAAATGGGACATACTCCAATTTCTAGGGGTCGTCCCACTTGTTGGCGGCGCTCACCTTTTCAAACAGCTGCATCCAGTCCTCCACAACTTGGTGCTCGGTGCCGCTGAAGAAGAGGAGATCTCGTTGGCGCAGGGTGGTAGGCATGATGACCAGTTGAGATTGGGCCGTGCTTTGCTGGGTGGTGCCTTGCTCGGTCGTCTGATCAGGCATTGCTGATGCAGTGGGCAGCTTCCGGCTTTGAAGTTCCAGGTTTGCTTACCCAGCACACTTCCACCACTTTGCAAGGGGGTTCATTAGCGAGGCCAGGTAATAGGCAGACAGCCGGTACGGAAACAAATGCTCGGGCAGTCCAGTGTCTACAGCTCGTGCACCCGCTCGCGCTTCGCACTCAGCGATGGTCCCACTAGTCATTGCCTTGCGAATTCCCCACTACACTTGTTAAGCTTCGTCAAGTCAACACAGAGCCTGTACCCACCCGTCAGCTTCGGCACGACGACGAGACCTGAACACCGTGCTGTAGGGGCGTCAACCTTGCGAATGACTCCTTGGGTTTCCCTTTCATCCAATTCTTTCTTCACCTGCTCGAGCAGAGACAGAGGTATTCGTCGAGGAACACTTAGTGAAAAGGGACGAGCATTTTAAGCGATGTGAAAGTGGTATTTTTTTGCACTTCTCCAAGTCCACGAAAAACTTTTGCTTGGGGTGACGGAATACCACCCACAGAGTCCAAAAACTGAACGATGTCCATGTCTTCATTTGCGGGTAATTCCAGGAGGTGTGTCGTTTCGTTTTTGATAACATACAGTCTTTGCACAGAGACCTTGTTACGCCACTGCAAGGTAGCAGTGAAAGATTCCAGAACGTGAAACCTTTGATTTCCTGTACCAGATACCTCGGCGTCCACTTTATCCAAAACAGTAGGTAATGCCAAAAAAGAAGGTGAAACCACCGTTACTTCAGCTCTTGAGTCTATCTTGAAGTGTGCGAGGTGACCATTCACGTGAATGGCAGCATATCGTGCCCAAAGCGTACTGAGCACGTGAAGTTCAACTGAGCCTAACAGCTCCTCCCGATGCTTGGCCCGGCAAGCAGCAATGCTTCCTGCAGAAATTGCATGTGGCTTTGCGAGCTGGACATTCTTTTTGATAGTGGTGACCACGGACACAGTAATTGCAAGTAGACTGAGTTGGCTGTACCAACTTGCTACGATGCGATGACGCAATCTTCGCGCGTTGCACCGCGTCCACGTTTAAGCTGTCGAAGGGCCCGCTCTCGCTGGGAGTTTCGCGGGATAGACACTCTTTTTAGGCTTCTTCGTGAACACGCGCTTGGCACAACGCTTCCTCGGCTATAAGTTTCGTACATTGGCACAATTGATCCGATAGCTTCTGATTCCGCAATCCAACGACAAACTTGTCTCCACAAGGCGGTCTTCAATCTCATTGCTGTTGTACCCACAACGCTTGACAAGATTCCTAAGCGGGGTAAAAAAATTAATCAACCAGCTTCCCATGTTTTTGTACCCGGCAATGAAATTGGCAGCTTTCGAAAATCTCATTGATATGGTAAACAAAATGTGAAGTGAGCTTAGCCTTGACTTCCGCAAATGGGCAGTTTTCTAGAGCAGACAGTCCTAGTGACAACAATACGCTACGTGCTTGGGAACCCATGCAATATAAAAGAGTTCGCACCTGCGCCTCGTCAGTGGCTGTGTAGATTCCGGCCGCGAAGGCGTAATCTTCGTACCTCGTTATCCATGTTGTCCATTCCCCAGGGCTGGTGAAGTTGAAAGGCGACGAATGGCGAAGTTCCGGCGTACCGACGTGATTGGGGGTGAGCGGGAAAGGCCCGGCGTCAGTGTCGGTTGTTTCGCCCATGAGCTGGGAAGGCCCGGCGTATGTACCAGTTGTCTCGTCCATAACTCCGCATTAGACGCCCACTTCTGACATCATGTTCAGAGACGCTGAGTAAAACACGAGCATGGCTCATAGTAACAACAGGAAGTCCTTTATTCAGAATTGCCCCTCTGCTATATACCCCACACGAGCCAGCACGCGCATGCTCCTAGCATCATCACTATGTTGATGTGCCTACAATCTACGTGCTCTAAGCTTTGCTCCCCAAGGATGCAGACTGCATGGCTCTCGCTCCAAGTTGCGCCGCTCATTAGGCCTCTTGTCGACCGCCCGTTCCTGCCATGAAATGTCACGCCCAGGGGGCGACGTGGGCCGTACGGAGCGCGTAAGTGTAAGGGTCCAAAGCGCGGCCTGGCGGCTTTTAAACGCGTGGTACGTGCTCATCAAGGAACGATGCTCACGTGTTACCCCTACACACTTCGATCCACCTAGCTATGCTACGTGCAACAGGCAGCTGCACAGAGCTTTAGTCCTAATGAGTCGCTTAACAAAACCGGTATCCACCGAGCACTATGTCTAAGCATAGAAGAGGCAGCCGCAAGGAGACATACACTCTGTAAGGTGAATGCCGCACACAGCAGCTTAACGAGCGATTGGCGCCCACCATCCCGGACGTTGTCACAACGCCTCAGCATCAAGCCGCAAGACAAAACAGGAGGGAAACCCTGCTCCCTGAGCCCAAAAGAGATAGAAGAAGCTGTTTACAGAAATTTGGACCACCTACAAGGCTTCCATACTCACTGGCTTTGGGCTTGGCCTACAATCCACGTGCTTTAAGCTTTGCTCCCCAAGGATGCAGACTGCATGGCTCTCGTCCCAATTGACCAAAGCTCTTGCAAACCAACAACAACAGAAAAAAACCCACTTGCGAGCAGAAAAAAAAAAAACTGAGCGTGCAGACAAGTTCTAACACGTCACCCAATCTCAGTCTCATCCCTCTCAACAAAGCATATCACCGAAGCTAGCAAGAGAAGTCTCCCTTAGGTCTACTTTACCCCGGCACACACAAAAGCTTGTACCGGATTACGACCACTGTCGTCGGATGCTCAAAGAGCCCCACGTTAGGTGCCAGTGTGGGGTCTCGAATCGGCGAGCGCATCGCTCTTAGAGTGAACGGACACAGGAGACACGGTCGGAACAAACCAAACAACGAGACACGTTTACTTATCTACTTTTTGATCAACGATATCATCAGCTGAATTATTATAACATCAATCGTGATCAACAACCCAACAAATCCTTATACAATATCAAACAATGCTCAACAACATGATGAAGAAGGCGGTGTCACTAACGCCTGACTCACCACGTGGCCCACGGTGTCGTTCATGGCAGACCCACCGCTGGAGGCAACCATCCACGCTACCGCCCCACACCAAAAGAGACCAGCTTATTTCTTGCGTGCCGCCACCAAGGCTTCCCGCAAGGCGTTGCCACTGGCGCTAAGGTTTTCTAACCATGATGGTGATGGTGGCGATAAACGCTCACAAGCACAACGACACCTACCGCTCAAGAATTGTGACCCCGAAATACGGCTGCTACCCAAAACAAGTGCACCACGCGGTGCAAAGAACTTTACGGAAACATCAGCACTCCTACAAGGTTTAACTGTACTGCAAGGAAGCTTAGGATGAAAAGATGCTGCACAGATCTATTTATACCAATATGTTTTTTTCTTCTCTGCAATGTGCCTTTGTGCCTGTCTGCTTAGCTCTTCTGGTCGTTCTTTCTTTTCTGTGAAATCAATAGTGTCCTCCTGGGCGATGTGATTTATAGATAATACTACAAACAACACCAGTCCATAAAAGATTTCCGTGCGGCTGATTGTATGTGCGCACTAACTCCCAGTTGAAAGCGTGCATGCCTACCACCTTTCTCTGGTGTTTTCTTCAATAGGCCATGCTGCCATTGGTGTCTGAATGGCATACTCACCAGTGAAACGGAGTGCCTGTCCAGTTGTTCCATTCTGATGCTGTGGTCGGGAAATTTGCAAACTTGTTCCCTGAATGCTGCTGCACATTGTTCAGCTTGCCGCTCGTAGAAGATTTCTTCCACGGGAGAGAAGTTGAGAGTGTGAAAGATGCTGTCCGGTAGTGGAATCCCAATCTGGAAAAGTTAAACGTGTGGCTTGATACACACTCATTGCGTAAATGAAAGTTCCATTGGATTTACCTCCAAACGACAGGCACGAGCACTGACAGCATTTTGATGTTAACATTTCATTTTAGCAATGCTAAGTTGCTTTAGATATAGCTTGGCAATGAAGGTTCTTCGTGCTGCTCCCATCATGAAAAAGCTGATGTTGACTTCAGCTGTTAACATAAAAAAAAATATTAGGTTATGCCCCCCTCCACACCTATCCTGACATTTGGTGGCACAATCAATGGATGTTATGCAACTGTATATACACAATGCCATGCAAATACTGCATGGTGTTTCACAAAGATAACTTGAACCACACTTTGAAAAGAAGAAATTCCTTCTACACAAGTGAGCCTAATGGCATACTGTTTTGAGTCTATTTAAGTTTCTCTTAGGATGTTTAAGCTTGAAAAGATCGGTTTGCACAAAGCCTATCTAATGAGCACAACTGGAAAAGGATGCGACATTCTCCACTTTGCACAAAGACGCCATGCCTGGGTTCGTGGGCTCTCGGACAAGCTACAGAAAAAGCCCTCGAGGGAGGCCATCAACAAACGTAGATTTATTAACCCAAGTAGCAGGAGAACAGCACACAGTCCGACAATCACCGGGAAGGTTGACGAAGTAAGCCCACCCGCACTGAAAAGCCCGCGGGGAACACGCAATGGGGCCACAAAGCGTGCAAATGAGAAGTCACCTGCCCTGCCACGATGGAGCTGTCACAGGCAGCCAGTAAGAATGAACATTGCACATAAGCTAGTGTGCCATGCAACATGAAAATGGCTTGCACGTGACGACAAAGCTTGGCATCGTAGCCCTTTCTGTCATGTCTTTTAACGGTGGTTCCTCGTGATGGAACTGCACAGGTGTCAAACGGAAGGGATAAGCCCATTTGCTTTCCCGCCGCCCCTTTTTCAATGGGCTCTGTACTGTGTTTTGGTGTTGCCGCAGACAATAGAGTGTTGTGACCTTGAGCAGTACCATGTTCTTACCACGGCGATGGTTAACGTGTGCCCTGCAGCTCGCTAAGACAAGACCCACACTAGTGGCTGTACTCCTACGAGATACATGTACACTACAGGACATAAATATTGCACCGCACTAGTGCAGGCTATAAAAGAAGATGACAATGCAACAAGCATTTGATGGTAGTGCCTCTCCTTGTTCACGTCTGCATAAATGGCTTCAGATGAAATACATAATCTGTGGTCTCACAGACATCAGTCTGTCTATTCCCAAAATTTGGTGACCCGTCATCTTCTCTTGGTAGGATTTTTGTAATGTTGCATAACATTTCAATAAATATTTGATCATAATGCTTTTGATTACACTAAAATTCACATAATTTTTTGCTCTCTAAGAATGAAGCCCAAATGCTAACAAGTGTGTTTGAATCTGCCTTCAATGCAGCTATTTCAAAGCAGGCTAATTATTTTTTACTAAGAACAATTTCTATATTTACACAATAAAAGACACAATCGGACTTGATATGGTGCCATGATGGTCTGTACATTCACTTTCAGCATGTGTTAATCAAATCAGTTGCCAAATTCGAACTTATGCAAAATATTCTCAAACTAAATACTTGAAGTTCCTCTAACTAGTGTATAAAGAAATTCAGTAATGAATCTACAAATAACCTTCACATAGTGTTTCTTAACATATCATCATGGTCACTAGATAATGCCTCATTATTTGTATGCTCAAAGGATTCGCTGAATTTGTCATGAAAAAATTTAAATGCCTAACACATGCATGTCATCACATTTCTGACTTTTTCAGTGTGCTGAGTCTTTTTTGTAAGTGACATTATACTGATTCCTTTTGGGCTATCAGTGCTGTGCATTTATGCATAATACTTGGATTGATCCTGTAGATGTTTGATAACGTACGTTTACTTTTTTCAACTGCCAATATGCTAACATCTTGAATTAGCATGTTCAATGTAATATTACTGCATAAATCCCCACCTGATGGTTCAAGTATGTCCTATATACTCAGAGTAAAGCAGTGGAAAGTAGCTCACCAGAAATGCCGTATTTACTCCAATAATTAGCAATTTTTTTTACGCAATCATGGGGCCCTGATAAAGGGGGTGTGCAAATTACGCAGAGATTTTGCGATTGTATACAAAATATTGTGTAACAGTCCTAACGTGCACAAGATATATGTTAAAAAAATAAAAAATAAATTGGAGAACAAACGAAGTGTATTTGTTAATTTTGAAAGAATTAGCACGTACTTTAACCAGTCAAATCCGGTAACACACGGTCTAGCGGGAATCACTGATCGCGAAGTCCGACTGGGAATAATCTTCATGGACGCTCACTGCCCTCCCGAAACCCATCAGCCTTGGTTCCGTCGAGCGCATTCAAACCCCTCTTTTCTTGAAGTTCTTTTCGACAATGATGGGAGAAAATAGGTCCCACGACTTGGCGATATTTGAAGAACTAAGCATCAGCACAAAATTTAAAAGGCCTTCTTCAATGGCAGAAAACTTGCATTAGCAAACGCGCACTCTTCTGCTTTTTTGCGTACCGATCGCCCTCATCGTCACGCTGAAGTAAGTAACCTTATAAGTGCTTTGTGGAGGCACGGTTCCCGTTTTCTTCAGCGAAATTTACAACAGCAAGCTTCAATTTCATCGTATGGCAAGAGAACCATCAAAACGCGTCGGCTGGATGGTTCCGAAATGGTCCAAACGTTTGTTGCAGAGAAGACACAGAGAATGATGCAGAGATGACACAGCTGGCACGACAGGCCCTCGCATGTCTCTTATACAGAACACCCGGGCCGTGACGCGAGCATGGATTATCGCCATTCTCACGGTGGTAGAGATGAAGAGGCAGGGGGAGGGTCACGACCAAGCAGTTCCAATGACCCATCAGCAGGTTGGTGATGATGAGTTTGTGGAAGTCCTCAAAAGGAGGGACTTCACACTTGCAGCCCATTTGACTGCACTTGTCTGCTCGGCAAGATGCGCACCAGGCCAACGAAGTGAAAGGTCCAGTCTTTTCGTGTGCACGCCGGCGTGCTGGCTCGGGCGGGTAATACATAGAAAATATTTTTCTTTTTTAGCAAAGCTGGCAATATATTAGGGGTGTGCAAATTATTTTGAGGGGGCAAATTATGCGTGTAAATATGGTAACAACAAAACAATGCTATTCATGTGAGCTATCCTATTTATGTGCGTAATTAAAATGCAATTCAAAAATCATACCAAGCCTCCTGAAAGATCATCGTAGAATCCGTGAGTTGGGGGGCTGAAGAAAAGCTATCATTTAGCTAGGTTATAGGCCTGGACTAGTTGGTTCATAATTAGACCAATCTTTACCCAAACAAAAAGTACACCAAGAAACAAAGATCGTACAAGTAGAGATATACTTGAAGCTGCAAAAATAGAATCTATAAAGATTAAATGTGTGAACACCCAATAATCCTGTACTCTTTCATGAAAACAAATGAATTTTTTGAACTGTGGGTGATAAGTAGAGCACATCCTTGGGCCACTCAGTCATGATCCATGTCAATGGAAGATAAGGGCACCAATCTTGTTAGTTTCTTAAAATATTTTTTCCCGTCTATTCTTTGACTCTCATGGTATACCCTCATGAGACCCGAGTAAAGAACTTTTTTCATATAGCATGTCCTCGATGAAGAAATGAACAACGCCTGTTCACGGGGCCGGCAGTTCTATTCTGCTTCGTTCTCTTATGCTTCGTGCAAGCCAAAATCGCATCAGTGCCCGAGCACCACTTTTGCTTGCTTACACTCAACCACACAGTGCAATTGAAAGGCCAGTTGTAAAATCGCCAATCAGGGGCTACATTAACTGCAGGGATCCGGTCTGTCTCGGCGACACCGAGACTAGGCCTGATGAGTTGCCAGAAAATGTCTCCAGCGGGCGGCACTGGGAGTGCCTGGGTGGTCTCTCATGTGCACGCCATGACAAGTTCTGCAGGAGTGTGTGGGAATTGAGGCTAGCCCACTGCCTTTGCGCGGGCTTTGTCGCTTCTTTCTCCGTTCTCATGTCCCGACATGACTCCCCTCCTCCGCTTTCTGCAGCGCTAGGAGAGGGAGTGCCATTTAACCCCTCTCACGCGGTAGCGGATATCGACTGTGGCGCCGCACACAGTCTCCCGAGAGGTTTTTCGCACACACGCCGGGAGTGGAGAAACCTCTCCGAGGACGACATGGGGGTAAGCATGCTTTTTTTCCCATCCCTCAGCTCCCTTAAGGGCTCGTTCGGACTTCGCCAACAGCGCCTTGCGCCCGCGGCGACCGCTTACCTTATGTCAAAGAGTGGTGCAGGTTCCTAGTGTGTGGCCAGGCTATGCCGACCCATATCTCTCCGAAGCCAACGCGAGCGCCTTTGGCCTCACTCGAGCAACTGGGCCTTGGTCCCGGTGTCTCCGTGAATCACTTTTACCACGGAGACGTGCTCGTGGCACCCTGTGTAGTACTTTTCGCCCGTGGCGTGGATGAGCCCATTTGCTTTCCCGCCACGCCTTTGCAATGCGCTGTACTGCGTTTCGGTGTTGCCACAGACAATAAAGTGTTGCGACCTTGAGCAGTATCGTGTTCTCACCACAGCGATGGTTAACGCGTGCCCTGCGGATTGCTAAAACCGGACTCACGTTAGTGGCCGTACTCCTTCGGGATACGTGTCACTACGAGTGTCAATCCCAAGGGGCAGACAGAGGCTGTGTCGTTGTGGCTGCTGGTCTCGAACATCTTGGCATTTGACATGTAGAACTACTGTGGTCGTCGTAGGTCTCGCGGACGCTTGACACCGCACGTGTGATGAAGGCGATTGTAGACACCGTACAAATATGAGTCAGTCGAGCAGATTATAACTAACCACAGTGCGTCAGCAAGGTGGTCTGACTGTACACTCAAGCCTCGATATAACCAAGTAAATAAAGTATAGTCTTGGAACAAATATAGTGTTAGAAACAAACCTTTATAAAAGAA